AAAATTATCACATCAGCTGTAAAGTTCCTGATAAGATAGTGCTTATACTGAACAAGTATATTCAGGACACTGAACTTGACAATATTAATACATTTCAATATCTCTGTCTAATACTTCACTGCCTTCTACCAAAGGGATTTTGGTCAAAGTGATGAATGGATGAAGACTAAAAAGAGATATACGTCCTCTCTTTGGTTAATTTAAACCAACTAGAGAGGCAAAAAGGAAAGGATCAGATTACTCAATACTGAGAGAATCTGCCCACATAGAAATTATTTCTGTGAGATGGAAAAAAATGCCTTTATTGCAGAAGACTATGCAGTTAAAACAGTTAATGATACTGTAACTCAACTAAAATTCCTCCTTCTCCCCCCTGCCCCCCCACTAAATGGTTTGGAAACAAGTGCTGATATTTTTTTTCCTTCTGACCTACTTCTTATTAAATTGTATTTAACAAGATTAAGTATGCATTTGCATCAGCAACAGCATTTCACAGTCAAATGCTGGATGACAGAAAGAGCTAGCTTACTTTCTCTCCAATTCCATGCCATGAATCAGTGAATTAATTTACCAGTGGATGTGGAGAACAGCATCTTGAAGCCTGTTTTATAACCAGCCATCAGTGGTGTGCAATGAAATTCTTGTAATGAGCAAATCCATCAGACAGACAAACTGTTCTGATACTTGGGCACTGGCATTGTAGAAAGCAGAATGAGAAGTCCTAATCCCAATTCCTGAAGGACAGTACTTGCCAGTATTGAATTATATGATTTTTTTTCCAGAACACTTCACGATGTATTATAAAAAGTTCCCTTATTCGTGTGAATAATTCTTGTGATAAGTTACACAAATAAGTACTTGCTTGAATAAGATCTACAGAATTGCATCCTGTGGGAATGACTTCAGCAGGGGTTTCTAAAGTATTCATCATTCTTAGTGAAAGTCTTAGACGTCGTTGATTAGCAATAATGTAAAATTATGTGCTATTTGTAAATCTTTACTCTCATTTAGCATATACATACCTACCGCAGGTATCATTCTCAGACTTATTTCAATGGAACCTGATGCCAGAGAAAAACTTACAGCTTTCACTGAGTGCCTCAGAAGCCCTGAACTGTTTGCAGAAGTCAGTCATTTAGCAAACACAGAGAAGTCACCAGTGCATTGTGTGACAGGGAATAGGAAAGCAGAACAGACCAGAATCTCATTTCTTCTCAGAGCTTTCCAGCTGATAAGTATCAACTGAAATACCAGGTTTCCAAGAAGGGACTACTGTAGGGTAATGCATTAAAGTGAAAGCTCTCCACTTCAATATTTTTTATATTTAAAAAAATGCATTTATCAGATAGAGGCCTATGAAAAAAAAACCCAAATGTGAGTATTTGATCAATGTGAGAACACTAAAGAAAAGCTCATTGATGGAAAAAAATTAACTGTTTTAAAAAATTGGTTTAGGCAAACTTCCTTCACGTATCTTTATTAAATTTGAAGACCGTGACTTGGAAGTGTGAAAATCACATTTTGTTTGTCAAAAATCAAGACAATGTGACATCAGAAGTGTTGGGGTGTGAAGCAGTCTACAGGGCCAGGCCCACAGTAAAGAGCTTCAGAAATGTAATGAATGCCAAGGGGCTCTGAGAGACAGAAGTGACTCCAAGATAGCATGATGGCTTGATTACCATGTCCTCACTGACTGAAATCAGTAAAATGCTGCAAGATTTCTGCATTTGTTTTGCAGTTTAATTGTAGTCTTTAATCTCTTAAAAACCAAGGCATAATAATTCCAAGTATCAGATCCAGGGAATCAGAAAAACTGACAATCTGAATACATTAAGCTGTGTACTTACCATTAGTAGCATTCATGCTTCTGTGCCTTCATGGATGAACTCATTCCTGGCTCCCAAAAGTCACCCTCTGCTGTTACAGACAGAGCTGCAAGTGACATTCTGTATTTCATAACCCTGAACTCAATATCCATTATTGCTCCTTATGGCAATTTTAAAGATTTGTTTTATTTAAGGAAGCTTTTCTTCATCAAAATAACTGTAACAGATGTTTTATGTTTTATTTGTTTTGCTATGTGATAGCACTGCAGAGAGAGATTAAATTAACTCCCCAAGTAGAGTATTTCTAGGCTGAAAATAAACGAGAAGAAATCAAAACATATGTCCAAGGGAAAACCAAGCATCTATTCAAGGGACAGATATTTTTGCAGTGCTGACTTTACTGGTTCTTTACATGGTGCCATTGTTTCCATTGAAAAGAGTGCATCACATTCCCAAGCTCTGTGCACATTATCACATTGGTGACAATGAACTTTAGTTAATACTAGAGCTATTCATAACTTTCCTCTTTTCTCCTGAATCACAATTCCCATATTCCTCTAATGATCATGTTTTTATGTCTCAGTAGTCCTTGTCTAATGTACAGATTGATATATAGTACAACTAAAGTATTATTGTGGGTAAGGATTGGATTGCATGGCTAGAGTGAAATTACTGTTCATTAAAGAACAGTAATAATTTATTTGACAAAATTTGTAAAAAAATTAAAAATCCTCTTCACAATTCTTTGAAGATGTGTCATGGAAACTATACCACACTACACACATTTTGATAGACAAGGCTGCTCCAGGAACATTTCTTTTTAAAAGTATGAATAGTAAAAAAATTCTATATTTTAAAGGTTTTTGTATACTGAGTAAATAAGCCCAAACACTGTACGATTTCAGCAGTGAAGCATGCCATGATTTTTGCCTTGCTTGTCATGATTAACAGAATGACAGATCCGCCCACAAGTCACTAGCACTGTGACAAACCATGCTATGGCAGAATGACAACTTTTCTCGTCTAAATTAGAAAAGACTTGAAGAAAATGTCACTGTTCCCATATTGAAGTCTTCTGACAAAACAAAACTAGTGACACCACAACAGTCTCTCTCAACAGATGCCTTTTACAAAAACTTCAATTTGAGAAACTTATTTTAAACACAAGATATTCTCCAAGGCATTAATCATCAATAGGGATCTTGGGGCTGATTATATTCTCTGCTTTCCAAGTCTGTATATATGGAGTTATTTTGATATTTGGAGTTATGTCTATGTTGGAGAATCAAACAATTTTGAACTGAACTAGTAGCACAGGACACATTTAAATGTGGACTTGAGAACATGTGTGCTATAGCAATGGAGAATTTTTTTGTATACAACACATTTTTGTGCACGTGTGCAGGGACTTATGTGAAGTCCCACACATTAAAAAACCAGCAGAGACACCACACATGAAAAAAAAACCAATAATTCTGTTTGAACTGCTTTTAGCAGAGCTAAATACTATTCAGGTTGAATTATTTCAGCATGGAGTAAGTTCTAACAGAGGGCTTCGGTTTTCTAGCCACTGAGATAGTGACTTTAAAGGTTCTTGGTGCACACAGTTAAACTCAGAGATATCACAAGATAGAACATTGACATGTCAAGACAGAAGATAGACTGAATTATACCAGAAAATGTTTGGTATGTGTAGTGGGTCATTGTTCCACACAGAGGGAATTTATGTTAAAAATAATAAAAGCCAGTAGAGATTTATCCAGCTACAAAAGCTGGGTTGAACATTTATACTGATACCTCAGACAAAGCATGGGCTGACAGTTAGGGAAGTGTTTAATATTAGTTGGTTGACACTCCCTTTCCTGCCCCTTTAGGCTGAGCTGTTGCTGTGCATCCAGCTGAGCCCGAGCTTCCTGCATGGAGGATTCTGTCTCTGGTACAGTGGAGTCCCCTGTGTCTACAGCATGGTCATTGCCAGGGCTCTCAGCTCTCCTTTTGTAGAAAAGGAGCAAAAGCACAGAGGGGTTAATGCAAGTTGTGCAAGGTTGTTTTGGGTTGTTTTGTAGTAGAGATGGGGGTCAGATTTCATGAATTTATTTTTCTGTCCTTTCTTGCAGTCCTGACCAGGAATGCTCATCATTTTTCATCAAAGAAATAGCTGGTGGTAGCTCATCTAATCTTATCTGCTGCTCCTGTTGCTTTTTGAGATCAATATAAAGCATTTCCAGGTCACTGCATTAAGGTTCCATGGTTTCTTAGCTGTGCTATGAGGATCCCTGTAGTGTTTCTTAGGTGTGCTCTGAAACCCTGACTATCTGTATCATTTGCAGTGCTGTCCTCCCAGTGCCTGCACATATGTGTCTCCTTCTGAGGCACATACGGGCATGTTCTTCTCTTGTCTTTGCACATCATTTTCATTCCTTCCCATAATTTATTCATGCTACTTTGTCATCAAGTATTGTATTTCTGCCCATTCATTATTCAGTGGATGGTAAAGAAATGGTGAAATACCAAACAGCAGGAGGAAGAAATGCACCAGGGACTTGGTAGATTGGGGGGTTGTATGTGCAAGACTCAAGGAGACATTCCAGTTCATTCCCTCTCCTGGCAAACGTTACTGCTTTCTTAGGGGCTGATCCTGCCAGCACTTGTGTGCCGAAATCCTGTAGATGCCATCATTTTCTGTAATGAGGACTTGCAGTTTCAGATCCTTGGAGCACAAGGTCTTCTTTAGCTACCTGAAAATGTACCCAGGCTTCTCTTCAATGGCTGTTGCAGGTGGTGGCTCTGTCAAGACACCGAGTAACACCTTTCTGCATGTCTGTAATTAGCAGCACTGATGTGAATAAACCTGTTCACAGCTTTAAAATTCCGCAGTTGTACTGGCATTCATAGGCTCAGGACTTTGTTGTGTGTGTTTTTTGTGGAGTAGTTGCTCAATGCTAAGGTAAACATCTCTGCTTCTACCACTGCTTTCTTCTAGCTGAAGTAACAAAATCAAAAAATGCAAAATCTGTACGGGAGTGGTAAAAGCTGCAGTAATTAATTATTAATTGTTTAGAGACATAATTTACCTCCATGGATTTCTACCTTTAAAGCACTGTATCTTGTTGGCCACAACTTTAAAATGTCTATTTTTCATTCTTATCCTGTGTCTTCTGCTGGATTGGGAAGGTGGACAGCATGGCGAGTCTCCACAACATACACGTTCGCACAGGCTGCTTCTGTAACACTGGAGCCTGCCAGATGCATCTGGACATAAGCAATGAGGACATCCAAAGGAACCTGCAGGTTAGTCTCTGAATGTGGCTGGAAGTTAAGAGCTAAAGTGCCTTACATCCCATGATTTTGAGTCTCTGTGACTTTACGAATGAAGTTAAATTTGACTTGTTTTCTTTAAGCTTTCAACTCCTTTGCCTTGTTAAAGAACTAAATTGATTGAAACTCAGCTCATTGAAATGAGGTATTTTTTAAAAAATCATTTGATGGATGCAGAGATGTAGTTGCTTATTATTATTTATTATTGGAGAATAGGAAATTGGACCTTCTTGTTTGGTTTTGGAATTGCATGATATCAAGACTTCCATCAGAACAGAATTTCCTGGACAATTCCTCTCACGTTTTTCTTTAAGTATCCTAATTAATTATTGTACGTACTCATGCTCAGGTCTTGTAGACCTGTTGCTGTTGGGTATTACAATTTAAAATACATACACAAATTGGACAGGAAACAATAAAGGCAAATACACAGTGAATCTCAGAGACTGAAGCAAATTTAGATTAAATCTACTTAGATTACTGGTGTGTTAGATTTTTAGAATATGAATGTAAAGACTGTTTTCAAGATTACTAATATTTTACATAAACTGTCATTAAAATATGTATAGCAGGATGTATTACAGTGAAGTGGAGGAGGCTTCCTGTCTGCATATTTGTCGGAGTTTGAAATTACAGTAAATTAATTCAGAACAATCAAAAACTTTATTAATGATGTTCTTCCAAAGGTAAAAAAAAAATCTAATTGCTGTAATGATATTATAGCTCCCTTATAATTTCATAGGGACATATAGATAGTTTTGCAAGCACATTTACATGCAGGACTGATAGCACAAGTTCTTAAAGGCTGCTGCAGTTCTTTAATACCTTCCTTGGGAAATTGGTGCTTTGACTTGCCATGGAAACTCTGAGAAAACAAAAAAGAGTCTACCCTTTTGCTGAAGTGAAAAATGCAAAAAAACCAGCTGCAATGCTCCTGGATCTCCTTATACAAGGAGGATTTTGCTAAGGAGTGAGTGACTTCTTTTAGGTCTGTGTCATTTAAATGGGGATAGGCCAAAGTTAAATTTATGGAGACACTTAATCGCCAAAGGTTGTATAATGAGGTGGTACAGTTACACAGTCATTATATGGGGACATTCCATTCCCATCAGTGCTTTGAGAAGGATCAGGATGAGTTATTGACAACATTACTGTGTAAAGCAAGGCATCTTTTATCATGTTATTTGCACATATACTTCAGTTTTGTCTTTTCCCAGGGTGCTGGCTGTATTCTTCCTTCCCTGATGAAGTTGTACATGATAAAATGCCTGTGAGGGAGGACTTTCTGTCTTCAAGTGTCCCTGGAGAAGTGTGGTTAGTTTTCTTAGAATGTTATGTAGGAACTCGTTTACTTATTTGCACAGTAGGAACCTCTCTCCTCAGTCAATCAAGCAATACTTGGCAGAAGGGTTACAGAAGGGTATATTAACAGATGCAACCTAATTTTGAAAATGTTGCTTCTGCTCTGTTGTCAAGGATAAAAACTACTTCACACTGCACTAAAATATTTACTACTGTGTTGCATGCTTTGACATAGGTTTTTATTTCTCCTTGCATAAATGGCATCTCTGCTCAATGTCCTGTGACATTTCTTGCTTAAAAAAAAAGCCCGCATGTAAATAAACCATTCACAGGTCCATTTTTAATGTGACAAAAATGTGTAAATAAATTAAATTCTGATAAAAAAGCCCCAACAGCTGCTGCACTTATGGAATATGATGCTGAGTTTGGACTAAATCTTAAGTCCATTGGTGATCTACTATTAAGTGGAGAAACAAAGGGGGACTCTAGCTTGCTTCATTGGTGGTGAGTGGCAGCACTCACTGACTCACTAAAAGAATGAGAAATTTTTGCTCTTAAGGGAGAGTTTTCCATAGAGTCTTGTGTGAGAGACCTATCAGAGGGGTATCAGGTATCTACATGGAGGCCACTATAGGGGATTAAAAAAATTTTTCAACAAAATTTTTTCAAGTAGAAACTTGTGCTCTTCAAAGGAGGAAGTGTTAGAGGAAAGACTAGCTCCATTTATCCTGAAAGCAATGTGTTGACTGGATCAGCAAGACAGATTTGTTGTATATACCTATGTCACTTAGGATGTCTGAACCCTAGACTGAAGTCTCTGCTTTGCTGCTATCCCAAAGTTAGTTCTCTGCTGTTTGGACTATTAAACACAAGCCATGATAAAGCCACTGGTGGTATAAAATGGCACTTTTCTGACAGTGAATATCGAGAAAACTGCCCCAAAAAAATCAACCGTCTCATGGTTTGTTCACTTATCTGAACATAACATCACAGTTTGAATCCCAGTGAACTATGCAGGTGAGACTGGAATATCCCTGGAGATTGTCTGAGCTGACCATCATGGGACATACAACCTTTAAGTGATTCTTGATATGTTTTTGGGAAATATCTCTTCCCCTAGAATAGAATAGGACAAGCAGCTCAAAATTATCTTCATAGTTTGAGTAAATCATAAGATGATTGAGGGTTTTTTCTTCATTTTCTCTTTGTATTGATGAGTTAACCTTCTATTTTTTGCAACAGTTTTTCAGGTTAGAATTAAGAGACTCATTAATAACTAGGTAAAATTAGAGAGAAATAAAGTAAAGTATCATAACAGCTCTCTGATTTTCTCCCTATGTCAAACTAGGCTGGCCATGTCTGTGGAGATAACATAGACCTAGTTGATGGACGCCCCACTGGTTCTGTGAGAATATCCTTTGGCTACATGTCTTCTTTTGAAGATGCACAGACTTTTTTGAATTTCATCATAGCCACCAGACTCTCCAACTCAGTTGCTGATGTTCCTCTCCAGTCTGTTACAAAGCTGACGACAGAGTCTGTTCCAGATGACCACCTTTCCTTTAACAAGGCAGATAAATTGTCTCCAATACTGCAAATCTCTGACAGAGAACTCAGGAATATTCCATCTGAGGCAGAGACAACTGGCAGCTGGCCACCCCCAGAGCCTGAGGCAGAAAGCATGAGGGCAGCTGTTTCGGAGACTGCAGTGCCAAGGTGTAGAAAAGGTGGCAAGCCCATCACTGTCGCCAAAATTTACCTCTACCCAATCAAATCCTGCTCTGCATTTGAGGTATGTGCTTTGAACCCTTCAGAAGTATTTGTGCAGCTCAGCCTTGTGTTTTTCATCAGACCCATGTGTATGAGATACTAGGAAGCAGGGTGTGGGTACCCACGTACCTTTTTTCCAGTTTCTGGGATCAAGTCCCACATGTTAGGCTACCTTGAAGGATTTTGAATTAGGCTGAAGTTACAGGCGAGGGGTAAATGTGTCTTCTGCTCTCCCCTCCCCCACAACAGGCAAATCTGCACGTAATATGCTGTCTTGAAGAAAATAGTTGGATTTGCAAAACTTGACTAAAATATAATCAAGTAATTAGTATGCTTTTACAGAATGACATGTGATGGACTTGTAGGCATTGATGGGTAGGCAGCAATTGAGAAATAACTTGATTAACATGTTATAATTGAGAGGCGGCTGATTTACATTACAAAGAAATGTTATCATTAAAAATACATTTGCAACAGAAATATGACATTTAAATGTTGCTGTGCTATTTGAAAGTTCACTCTTTGAAGATTTTAATTGCTTTTTTACCAAGTTAATAATATCATCACCTTAGCTGTGACTTTTTTTTTTAAATAATGCACGATGAAATAGGTGTATGGCCCACACATGACCTAGAATGTCACTCTGCTTAGTACCATACTGGGAAGTGATTTAATGAATGTCAATAATGGTATGACTTTCCCTATGCAAACTTACTGGTGTAGGTCAGTGTCTCACATCTGAGAGAAAATTGGGGTCAAATTCAGTGACAAATCTCCTGAATTTCAAATAGGGCTTCTCAGCTGATTTGATCATGTTTTGGTTTTTTTGCTTTCTCAGTGCAGAGAGGTTGAGCAATTAAACACTATTAAATGATCAACCAAACATCTGTATTTTTAAATTTGGGTTGGCTTATGATGTCTTTAATCCAGAGACACAATCCTGAGCATCAAATGAGACCTGAACAAACAATTTCCACCCCTTATTAACTTCCCACTAGATCAAACTGTTTAGAAAATCAAATTAATTGCCCATTTCATGTGAAAATTTTTTAACCTTTGTTGAAGTGTTGCACTTTTCATAGCTGTATTAGAGAAGCCCAGTATGGAAGCTGCTGAAATACTTTGGCAGTACTCATGCACCTTTGGGGTTAAGTTCTGTTTTTGACATGCAGGCTGGTGTTGTGAGATACAAGCCACAACATTCAGCACTAGGAAGGCTTTGAAGTGATTGTGCCCAGGAGCAGGTAAGACACACCTCAGCATGAAAGAAAGCTTATGTTTCCCTACAAGCTGAGCCGGGTTTCTCCTCTTCAAGCTCTGTGCGGGGAAACAGCTTTAGGTGATAAATTCCCGCAAACCTGGTAGTCCCCAGCAGACAGGACTGCAATTCTATATGGTGGGGGGAAATCCCCATGCCTCGTGCGTAGTGCTTGTGCCAGGCATGTGTTAATGAGCCCAGAGTGAAAACAGGACTCATCTTACCTCAGCTTCCACCTATACAGCTCAACACTGTTCTGTAAGCACTGAGAGATGGATACCTGCGTATTCCTTTTAGCATAAAATAGGCATCTGCAATAGGAGAAATAAATTTTCCTGGATATTTCTGTTTCTTTTCATTGACTACAAGAGGAATCCAAGGCGACTTAGATTATGCAGCTAACACTAGCTGATCTGAATAATTTAAAAACAGATTGAAAAAAAAAGCAACTACATTATGAGGTTTCATTTTGCGTGTCTAGAGTAATTTTTGAAGTCTGTTTTGATTTTTTAATTATAAAGCCTCAGCCACATTAGAACCCTGAAATCTAAGCACTGTCAGAGCCTGTATTCCCAAACAGTAACAGAAAATTAAATAAATACTGGATTTAATGTAAGGTATTGGAAGAAACTGGAATTCCACTATAAAGAGCATTTAGCTCTTCTTCTCCTCTATTTAAAAAGTAATTTTTGTGCATTTCCACATGGTTTCCATGTGGTTTACAGAAAATATGTAAGTGCATATAAAAGAACAGTAGAATATGACCTAACAACTGGGAAATTGTTGTTATCCACTGGGAAAGGGCTTTCACTACATTGGGAAAGCAGGCCAGGAGTTGAAGTCAAAAGAGTATTTTGATTTTGATGGTGTTTTTATATTGAAGTAAATCCCTGCAAGAAATATGTTTGCTTTTGTGACCTTCTTCTTGTCCACTAGATGTTCTTCATGTTTTTTCTTCCTGAAAGTCTGACTGGCGCTTCTAGACCTGTCATACATTTATAACCAGCCTGTGAAAGATCTGCCAATCTCACTGTCTGCCTATAGAAGAGATAAAAATGCCATCTTACAGACCACCATTTGTAAAATGAACTTTAAAGCTCAATTATACCATTCTACATCACCAAGTGGCTTAGTCTCTTCCCAATGAGTAAGAGTAGACTAGAAAGCCATGGCTGCCAGGACCCAGACCCTGCAGAGTGCACTGACCTCCAATATGTACCAATATATATGTTTTTATATGTCATTACTTAGCTTCAGCCTGCATCACTTTGAAACAGGAAAACAATGTATGTCACATGCACTGGAGTGTGAAGCAGGGCATGCTAGAGAAGAAACCTTACCACAATTAAATGGAATCAAATCCTGAAAATCAATAAAATATTGATTATAACAGAGTCTCTAGGCTTTATCTTGAAAAGACTGAATCATATGGAAAACTACTCTTTTGCCATTTGTTTAGTGGATTTTTTAAATAGACTTCACACTTAACATTGTATTATCTCCTTACTTCTGGAAATGCATAAACTTCTGAAGTAGTTCTAAAGTAATCATGTATCTTTAGTCTTTGATTGGAATCCAAGAATTGAAAATCAGTTTCATGTTTTTAATCTAAAATAGCTTTAGATGCTCTGTAGTTGCCAGAAATTTAGAACAGTATTTTTCCCAATTAAAAATTTTATCTCCATGTTTATCAGTTATAGGGTAACTCAGATAGCTGATGTGAAAAGGTAGAAGTGGTTCAAATGCTGAGCTGTAGTAAATTCATTCACCATCTAATACTTTGATATTTGAGATAAGAAACTCATAGATTTGTAGGTTCAAGTGGAGGCCTCCTGCTGGTATGGGAGGCCAGACATTTAGGATGTACTGTAACTAGGGTTTATTGTAACTACATGACCACTTGAGTTTTCCTGAAATAATGTTTGCAGTGGAGAATTCCAGATAACTGTGAGCAGGACTCAGCCCATCTGCCACTGAAATCTGCCCATGGAGTTGCTGGTTGCAGGATAGATGATTAGTGGCAGGAGGACAAACTTGAGGAGGATGTGAGTGCGTACTCACAGCTGTTTGATCTCCTCTTTAGAGTCACATAATCTCCTGCTCTCCTAAACTCTGATTTCTCTGTTCTATTCTAAGTGATTTAGTATGAGAGGTTCTTGACCTCCAGAGAAAATGAAAGTGCAGAGTGCTTTGGCAGCTGGGAGGACGAAGCTTGGCATGAAGATTGTCAGCTTGCTGCAGGTCGGGTATTTTCTGCAGAATTGTATGGAGTGTTCGTAGTCACTGTTGTCCCGTGGATTTTATACACATGGTGCAGAAAGCAGAGGGCAGAATTTTCTAGTTCAACTTCTCAAATGTGTTTTTTTTCCCCCTACAATTATTTTATTAAATGGAGAAAAGCAGAGGAGTAACCTCCATCACAGACCACTTTATTTTTTCTAGCATAAAAATATGTTTTAAACATACATTTTTAAACAGGATCATCTCTCATGTAGATGACTTTTGCATAATTATATAATGCAATGTGCCCAGTGAAAGAGGTTAGGAATTTAAACCAATAACTAATTAATAACTTTATTATTCTTGCAGTAGATTTCAGAGTATAAAAAATTGCATCTCAACAGAGAAGACAAACTAGCTTTTAATTTAAAATACAGTGCAAATTCCTAGTGATTAGTGGATAAATTATATGTAAGACCACTAATATTTTTAAACTTAGATAATCTAAAGCCTTTTTAGTGATTCCTTTAATGTGTTCAAAAACTGTGTAAGCCTTCATGATGACATAACTGTGAACTATGGGAGAAATGCATCTCAAAATATTTTACAGAAAATTCTGAAATAAAGAAAAAAACCAAACAAGTCCACATGTTTTTGCAGTGGATATTTTCATTTTGCAATAGGAAAAGATGGACTAAAGCTGATGGGACAATACCAAGTTCTGGCTGTATTATGGAATGATCCTCATGACAGGTAGAGGAATGATCCTGGGGTGCATCATCACCTGCCATGCTTGGAATGAAGGTGTGTGCTGGTATCTATCAGTAAAACCATGCTCTCCCTGCTTTCCTTCTGTCCTCCCACTTTTAATTTGTCCCAGTAGCCGGAGATGGCCAGACAACTTCAGGGAATCACACTACAAGCTATAGAATGCATTACTGCTCACTGCCATGTATGCTAACCTGCTCTATTTTGCTTTATTTAACAATCCCTTCAGCCCCTTTGAAATAAAGGCAGGATATGCTCTGCACAGGCCAAAGTGCTGAGAGAAGAAATGAATGTGTTCTTTCTTGCTCATGCCTACACTCAGTATTGGCAGCAAACCAGCTCTGGCAGTTCAGAGCCATCTGTGACTCTCCATCCAAGGCAGGCCAGAGTTATTTTGTTGTTGCAACTTCCTTTACCAGGGTCCTAGCAGCATGTGCAGTACAGTGAGCTGAAAAGTGGAGCGGGAGTTGGGCACCTGACAGTGCACAGAGAGCATCCATGACAGGACAGGGACTCACTGCAGGGCACAGTGTGTGACTCTCACCACAATGACAAATACCCAGAGGAAGAGGGAAAAAAGGGTTGAGGATCTGTAGTCATGGGCTGCATCATATTTGTGGTGTGAGTGAAGCATGGAATAAGTTGCCATTATTTTGGACTTGTCAGAGGTATCTTGAGTGGAAGGTGTTGATTATTTCCAAATATCTGCTAGCTAGTTAGCTGGGCTTACCCTTTAATGCTTGTCAGCATGCAAAACTACCTGAAGCTCTAATTAAAGAGAAGTTTTATTTTCCTCACAAAGCCTCTTGCCTTCATCGAAGGGTAAGCAAACACTTAAGCTATTTCCTGAAAAAGATTCCTGTCCTGAAGTGGAACCAAAACAACTGAATGTTGCAATAGGGAAATGAGAAACTTTGTGGTCTTCTATTTTTCTGCTTTTTTAGTTTATTCTCCTCTCTGTATCTATCAAATCCTGTAGAGATCTGTTGGATTCATGGGAGGATGTATTACCCATTAATGATCTTCTTTTTTGGAAGGGAGATTTGTTAGCAGGAAATTCTTGCAGCTCTCAGATGATCACCAGCTGTTCAAATTCATTTTGGAGTCTAATTATACAGGATAACCAAAAATGCTGGTCTCTCTAAAGAATAATTTCCACTAAGAACAAAAGTGTATTCTTCAGCTGATATTGCAGTATTTGGGCTATGATTCCTCTCCTAAAAAAACAGGGCAAAGGTTAACATAGCTGAGGTGCTGACAGTTTGAGGTACTTGGATAATGTGATTTCAGATGACACCGTCAGACCTAAAATTTCTATTTATCACAGAATTTTCATCCACAGTTACATAAAAAATTGCCAACTAATATTATAAATCAAGTGGGTTGATAGAACATGTTTCTTCTCCTACTTTTTATTTTTCTGTTTTCTGTATTCAGTGTAGTTGGTAGCACTGTGGTGAAATTATTTTTATAATTAATTAATTATTTTCAGCTTTGATGCTTTGAGTTTTCAATTCTACCCTTAGCTTTCTATAGTCAGGCAGTGTCAAACTGCTGCTGCAGGCTTTTATAAAAACAGGAAAAGTTTATAAGAATGAGATATTTTAGGTTCTGTCTAGTTTTGGGTTGATCACATGATAAACAAAAATGTGATTTTTAATTAATCTAGCTAGTGCTTCCAGACATGCTGTGTCTGGCTGTGCTTGACATATCTTTTGCTCAATAGGTTTTTGCTGAAGTCTTTTGTGGGCTAATCCATGTGAGATGTGCTCAGCTTTTCTATAAGACTTCAATGAAGTTCAGCTGTAAACTTTTCTCCCTATTCAACTGTGACTAGAAAGCATACGTGAGCTGAAGAATATGTTAGTGGCCAGCTTTATATTACAAGAATGGTATTAATATTTTAACATTCTGGAGAAGAAAGCAGATATTAATGTCACCCAAAGGCGTTACTGAAATTGCTCTCTTTTTGGATTTCAAGATTACCATCTGTGTAGCATCAGAAACAGATGTTCTTTTCACCAGAAAAATGTATGTGAAAGCAAGGACAATATTCTTGTATGGGCTATTCAATGTAAAGACTGTTGTAGACATAATGGAAGAACAGATAGCAAAGAAGACAATGTGTTTTGTTCTAAGGGAATTTAAAGAAACTGTTATTCTCCCAGCAAAAGCAGAAGCTTCAGTGGCAGAGATTTTCTCAAATGGATTAATTGATAAATTGTTCCCATTTTACGAAAAGCAAGTTTTTTCAGAATTTTTAATTTCACAGTTTTCCTACTTTCTATTTGTTTGGTTTTGCCTTAATTCATAAAATTCCCGTAAAATTTCTGTGCTTTGTAAGTTAAATGAAAATTTCTGGAGGAATAGGTTCTAAAAATGCATGAGTATAAAACTGAAGACAGTTTTCAGAATGTTTTGGAGATTGTTTATTCTTATAGCTTTGTTAAAATGTATATAATATGTAACAACTGTAAGTAATTTGATTTTTTTTTTTGGTCAGCTTTGTGCAGTGATATTTTTATCTTTGATGAATGGATTCTTTTCCCTCTCTTTTCTTTGCAGCATGAATGTATTAATGAAGCAAACATTTTTTAAACCCCTGTGCCCCCTCCTGATGCTTTCCCAGGTTACAGAATGGCCAGTAGGAAACCAAGGTTTGCTGTATGACCGCAGCTGGATGGTTGTAAACCAGAATGGAGTCTGCATGACTCAGAAGCAGGAGCCAAGGTTGTGTCTTGTGAATCCCTCAATTGATCTGAAGCAAAAAATGATGGTCATTCAGGCAGAAGGTTAGTAAACAATATCCTTTCCTTCCCTACTTTATTGGTGTCAGATTTCTAGGCAGGGACACCTGCATGCTCTCACCAAACAACTGAATGCTGTGCATGCTTACTTGTGACTTTAGGGACAAGTTCTGTGCCAGCTGTGGGCAATGAAGCCCAGTCTGTTATATGCAGCCCTGGGGGGCTTTCTAACTTATTGTTGGGTAGGCAGAGAGTAGAAAGTGACTCCCTATGTGCAATCATAAAGTGAATGCTCCAGAATGGAGAAAAGAACGGACAGATGTGGAAATACTGACTAGTGTCTCTCCATAGCATGAAGCCCCATAGACTGAAGAGATTGTTAATGCTGCAAAAGTGAAGGAATAAAAGCCTTAACATTAAACACCTTGGACAAAAACCTTCCCATTTCATATCTCTCTTCCTCCTTCTATCTCTAGGATTAGAGAGGTAAAGTCTTCAGTCTTCAGGAAATTAGTATTAATTAAAATAAGGACCAGGCATTATTTAACTCAATTAAATACTTGCACTAGCAGGCAAATATTTCATGATGTTTGAGCTTCCTGGGAATTATCAAAATCCTTTTTATTTGCTGCTGAGGAAAAAAAAAAAAAAAAAAAAAAAAAAAAAAAAAAGTAAGTGTTACAGAAACCCTTTACTGCTCAGGGGTGAAAATTATTTATTTTCATAACAGTGCCATTGCCACTGAACACTGGAACAGGTTTGAATTCCACAGAAGTCATTACTAATGCTGAGTTTGCATGTGTCTGAATGGTGTTCATCATTTCCCTGGGGTCCAACATGTACTCAGCCCATAATGTCTTAACCACTAATAATATATGTGCCCACATTTTCAGCAGCCAGAGCAAAACAAGGGACCCAGATTTTTCACCCTTTATTAGAAATCCATATGAGTAGATCTGTAACCACAGTCTCCTTTCTGTGTGAACATTAGGGCTGTTGTCATCTCCAACTGTCTGAGCACTCACCACAGAATTAAGTCTGACTTGTTGATTCTTTTGGTCTGAAATAGGTTTCTCAAATGTACATTTTCATATTTCCACTAATCATGTGCTATTTTCTGTTTCCAATCCCAAACACGAGCTAGTCTCTTCTTAGGGATTCCAGACTTGCTCACTGGCACATACACTGCTGCTTTCCCCTCTTTCCTTCATCCTATTTCCTTGAAAATTTATCATTAATTCATTTCAATTCTACGTGGAGCAACTTGCACCTCAAATTTCTGTAGTAGTGTTGCACAGACAGCCTTCTCCAGCAACTTTTAAATTATCAAGTGCTTCAGAACTGATTATTTCTAGAGATTTATTTCCTTACCATCACTCTTCCTTTCTGACCATTCTGAGTCTGTTCTTCATTTTTTTTTCCTTGCTAGCACTCGTTCAGATAAGTGCCTACCCATTAGTATGTTCACCTGTCAATAACACCTGTCAGTAACACCTATCATACTTCAGGGAGTCAGGAGGAAGTTTTCCCAGATGAAAATGACAGTCAAGGCATCCATTTCACACTGAAATTTACAATCTCTTGCCACAGTGAGTGCCAGGGTGAAATCTGCCTTTAAATTCTACATTTTACTGTGTGTCTTTTTTGGAGTTTTCACTGTCAGTTGCCTTCCTTCCAATGAAAGTGAGAACCATTTCCACACAGAAGTGATTGTCCAAGTCCATTGATCATTTTTCTACCCAAAAGTAATTGATCAGTGTGCTGTAATGGGAATGTCATTGCCATTTATTTGCAAGCCTGCTTTGGTACAGCCAGTGTGTAAGAATGGAGTAATTTTATTCTTTGTGTAATGACTCTAGCTACCAAAATCCTAGCCCATGAGGTGATCTGGGGCCTCTTTTCTAATAGTCCTGCTATTTTTTAGTCCCATGGTGTTCTTGCAACCTGTGGCATTTTTTTTTTTTTAAATTCTTGACAGTGAGATAATGGGAGTCTTTTCCTTGGGGAGTATACTCCAGAGCTTACTGCTCCTAAGATGGCACAATGATGGGAGCACATATGAATCAGTGGGGTAAGGCTGAGCAGATAAATCTGTAGGAAGTTGTTCCAATATTTATTATGTTTTCTTTCTTCTTACCTGCAGTCTAAATCCATTATTTGTTTGTTGGTGTTAAATTTTTAATCTTTTTCTTTTATCCCTTCACAAACATGGGTCAGTGTTATATCTTCCATTTAAATCGTTTAATGGCAGACAAATTTAATTTAATAAACTGACTCTTTCCTTGCAAATCCCACATTAATCCCTGCTGCTTCTATCACCACACCTCCAGCTTGTCTGTAGTTGGTTGGAAATGTAGGAGCTGAAGCTGAATGCTGGATGTGAGCAGTGATCCATGTGGTGGGGAGCAGTGGAACTTGCTTGAGCCAGGCTGGTTGCTCTGAAGCTCAGAACCTTCTCTGCCTGTGTTGGTGGCTGAAGTTCCGGTGTTATTTCAGACCCGTAGCTCTTGGCCTGGTGAGCGACAGCCACCCCCAGGTCTCCTGCTCCGCTCCTCCATCCACACGGAAGGCCACGCACCCAATCCCCCTTTGCTCAGCCACAACCGCATGCATCTTTCCAAGCTGAGCTTTGTGTCGTCCATCTCTCCTCCCCCTGCCCTCGCAGTCCCTGTGCTCAGTTTCTCTGTTCTTTCCATTTCTGCCGTGCCCTCGCTTCGGTGACTATGCAAGCGCAGCGGCTCCAGCCGAGCGGTGACGGCGCAGCCCGGCCGGCTGCCTCGCCTGTGCCAGGAGCTGTACCCGCGGTGTTTCCCGGCCGGTTCCGCTGCTATCCGCGCTTTTCCCGCTGCCAGAGCAGCCTGTGGCTCGCACCTCCACCCAGGGCGCGCTTTGCTGGCTGGAGGCGCCTCTCTCCGAGAGAGAGCCTGAGGCAACCGCGCTGCTGGAATGGGTGCCTCTGGTAAGTGCCTGAAGCCGAGCGAGCCGAATCCCACGTAGCTGGAGTTCACAGCGGTTTTTAAGAGCGTTTTGCTGTTACACTGTTAGATTATGGTGAATACTTTATCTGTGCCACTTTTGAAACATAATGAGTCTGTTCTCTCTTCCCCTCCAGGCACGTGTTCCTCTCCCTCTAGAAGTTTTCATTAGCAGAACATTTGTTTATGGTCATTTTATTTCAATGTGTCTTAATATTCTCTGTCTCCTCTGTCCAAGAAAAATTTGTCAGCCTGATTTAGTGTGACTGTAACTACTTTAACACCTTCTGCTGAATTCTCTGTGTGCTGAGACACCCTTTGAGGGTTGTTCTTTAACCCCTGCGTGTTGGGTGTCTCTGTAGCCCCAGCTGTGGATGGGCAGAACTTGCTGTCTGACAGGGCCAGCTGTGCAATCCTGCCGCCCTCCACTGTGGATAGCAAGGATGGCAGAGTGGGGATCTGCCCAAAGACACAAGAAGGCTTAGGATCTTTGCTGGCGTGCCTGCAAAATTTGTTGTCTTGCATGGCAGCTGAGGAGCTCCAGGTATTTCCGGGATCTCTGACGAGGGAGTTAAGAGCAGAGGGAGAGGAAGGGCTTGTGCATACTCTCTCTCACTGGCTGTACTTTTCTTCAGCAGAGGGAGTGAGATTTTAATTTTGAGAAAGTACATTTCTTAATTTTGTCAGAATTATTTTCTTAGGCTTTCTTATTTTTCTTAGGTTGTTAACAAGCATTCCCTATTTTGTTTCCTGTTCAGAGTATAACAAAGCCTCACAGAACCACTTAGAGAAAAGCAGTGTACCTAACTCTAAATCAGCCCTCATGGAGAGAAAGAATTTCATGTGTCTTGAATGAAGTTATTAGAAGTTTGGCTCCCAGTAACTGAAAGGTGGGCAGGATCAAGTGCCTTCATTTCCAGAAACCCTATTACTGGAGTGAGAATCAAGGGAAATCTTGTCCTCCTCCATCAAATATGTGGGAGCACAGATTACATTGCACTTATTCCTGACCTACACAAATACGTAGCCAAACAGAATTCAGCTGAGAATACATTTCTGAAAAAGACTAATTTCTCTCTTTCCATTTTAGCTAACAATCAGCATTACTGTGGCAAGTTGGGCATTAGTTTGTCACTGCACATTGGGAGAAATTCTGAGTGTTGAGGAGGCACCTTAAAATATTGGAGTAGAAAGATGCTAGCAAAACTGAGCAGCTAATTGCACTTTATGGAGTTTATTGTGCCTTCAAATAGTCATGTGTTACTGCCAATAAAAATAATGGGAATTAAGTGCATACACTGATGAAAGAATATACATGAATGGTTTATATTTCAGTCTATTGAAATAACAGATCTCTAATTTTCCTCATTGACTGAAAATAGGAGCTATAACGATAAGAATTTTTTATATTAATACTGTGAGCACATCTGTGAATTTTATTATCAAGCAAATTGCCATGGAGAATGACAGCTTCTGCACTTTAGTAACTGGCAACATTCTACTTTATTTTTTTGCCTTAAAGACAGAATAAAATTGTAATTAACAATGTTTAACTGACCTAAACATCACTGTAAAATGTGTACTGTTCAATAAAAATGTGGTACACTTGCTGGTGTATAAAAGCCTTTTTAAAGCTCTGAAATTCTATTTTAAGAAATGTTGGGACCATGCCTTTCTTAGAAAGTATCTGGACGATGTAACAGTTAAGAGTGCATGCAGGGTGAAATGTTTCATATTCATCTTTTCCAGAAGGAGTGGTTCTAATGTTTAATTGTTTCAAAGCCCAAGAGTTCTAGTTGATAATAACATTGGCATTTTTTCAGGTTGTTACAGGATAGTTCGATGAATTTTTACATGTATTATTTTCTTAAGTGAACCCAACTTTTCACCCTCTGTCTTCACTTATGACATATACTAACATAATTAACCAAAGAAGAAGTAGACCACTTTCTATTTTGTAAAACATGCATGAAACAGAGTTGATGATGTTGCAATGAATCTGAACTACATTTCATTATGCTTCAGAAGAAAATAAGCCAACTTGATTTCACCATATCAGAAGACGGTAGAGCATGATTCTTATTTGTTTTTCAATATTGTATAATATCAAAATATGTAGTTATAATTCTGGGAAATGGGGGTGTGGGGGTGTCAAAGTTTTGGTTAATATATGTTGCAGTGTAATGGAAAAGCTGGATTCATTGCAGCCACACAGTAAAACACTTTGTTCTTCATTTAAGATTATTGTTTTCAATTAACAGAAAGAAAAGTAGTACAGCTTTTCTTTTTGTTTCTAACAAACTACAGTACTCTTTCCATGTCTTTAGCTCATTCTGTTCAAGATGAGAAAAATGTGGGAGAAGTTAAGATAGATCATTACCAGGGAATCCTCAGCTGGTTTAAACTTGGAGATGAATAGATGGGAATAATTGTCTGATTTGCAGTTTTCCATACATTTTGTCTTGTCTTTAAATTATTGTAATTTTGTCTCACAGTATAGTTCTTTTTTTGAACAGACCGTGCCTCTTTTTTACTTTCCCCCTCCTCCATCTTTCATCTTTCAGATCACTCAGTCCCTCTACTCCAACATGACAGTGTTTAACATCATCTCCTGACTTGTCAGAGGAACCATCCTTTCAGTAAAAACCGTGACTGAGGCCATAATTCTGTGCCAGTTTTGCTGCCTGAGATAAACAGAGAAGGAAATTACTCAAAGCTGAAATTGCGTATTTTTAAAATACGCTTTGAGTACCAAGGTCATCTGCAGCCTTTGTGCTTTGTTTTATCATTTGGAGCCACCTGCCGGCAGAGGATATAATTCTAGCATAAAGAAAAAAGATTTTTTTATTTGCTGTTTGTGAGGCTGCTGTGACTGTGAAAAGGAGCAAAAATGGGAACTTTTTTCATGATCCTATCATTCTTCATATTTTTTTTTAATTTAACTATGACTTTCTGTCTTCCCACCTAGGCATGGACCCAATATCTGTGCCACTAGAAGACAACACTGGAAAAGAGGCTGTGATCTGTGAGAGTAAAGTCTGTTCACACAGGTAGGTGAGAGCAGAGAGGAACTGAAGCTGAAAATCACTGTAGTGGCACTCAGGATGTGAACAGATGTACACACAGACAGAAGTCCTTGAAAAAATGGTGGAGAGCAATGAATGATTAGTGGACCAGGAGAGTGATCCTATTTAAATAAGTAATTTGGCATGCCCAGAATGTCTGATAGAAAACAGTAAAAAAATTTTAAAACATGAAACAAGGAGAGGAAGGAAAGTACAGTAAACTGACTTTCCCCTCACTTGAGTGAGTGAGATCTTTTTATTTACTTGCTCCAAGCATGAGAAAAGGAGAAGGTGTCCCCAGTTACCTGCAAATGTCAGCTGGGGGTCTCAGCAGGGCTTGAATTCAGTTCCCACATTTAATAGTGATGATGCTTTGCCTATTTCATACTGCATGGATTTAAAGTTGCTAGAACCTTCTAAAGTTATAAACAGCTTTCCATATTTACAACCCTTTTTAATTTTGTTTTGACCACCCATGTTGATCAGTGTCCCCTTAACAATCTTGACTGCAGGTATGTAAGTTAAATAACATTCTTTCTAATCAAGAGACATACCACTTCAGTAAATATAACATTAGGAATAAAATTGTTTCCTATCCATAAACTTAAGTGTTTATTCATCATATTTTCTAAGAACTTCCCGCAGTCTCATTAAGTTTTCTGAGTGGCAGTGTATCAAGTGCCTTCCTAAAGTACATTTGCATTATCTACTATGTTTCTTTTCAATGAGTCTCTTGGTAAGTCCAACTAAAAAAGCCACTTAAAGATTTATGTCTTCCTTTCACTAGGTATACTAATTCTTTGTAACCCTCTACATTTGCTTCTCTGAGTAACACATAAACAAACCAGCAGAAGACCTGGCAATTTCCCCATGGAGCCATGCAGAAAACTATCTTCTTCTTCTTTTTTACTAGCTATTCAGATGATAAAGAGGATCTTTTCCTCAGAAGTGTATTTTCCTCAGGTAGTGGAATCCACCCAACAGTCATTTGTTTTAACCATCTGTCCTACTTCCCTTAGTGTTGACTCATCCCTAGCCTCCCCATGCTAAGCTCATCTATTACAGGCTATAAAACAGCCTGAGTTATCTTTCTGTGTGCATAAAATTTGTTGCCATACTGTTTATTGTAGCTTCTCTTTCATGTAACTGACTGTGTCATTTTTATTGTATCAAATTGGAAGTTTTCATGGGAAACTTCTTAGAGTTCTGTGAAGGAAGGAAAGAACAGAATGAACAAGAAAAGGGCTGTGAAAGCAAATTGCAAGAAGTGGACTGTGACTAGCAAATAAACAAGACAGGAAGTAAGGCAGGATGAGTGAACAACATTGATGAGGCTCTCAAACTGCTCAGAGACCCAATAGCCATTGATGCCAGTTTCCAGTGTTTCAGCAGAGGAGCCTCCAGGGCTGAAAATAATGAGAAAAACAGTGCCTTGCAAGAGGACAGGAGATGATTTGTGGTCAGGGGTCTTTTCTGCAATGTCTAAGGTGAGCAGTGGGGCCCAAGTCTTTGTTAAAAGGCTTTTACTTGAAAGAAATGCCTAGTGAATGTATTTTCTATGCATTAGTTCTGTGCTCTGATGCTGTTATTTCATCCAGTTCTGTTGGCTTACTCTGAATTTAGACTGAGATAACTGAGAAAAGTACATGATGTAGAAGCTGCAAGCAGTCATGTGAGGAAGTTTAATTTTGCAGCAGCCACGGAGGTTTAATGAGCCCACATTTCCGTTCTGAAGCAATTCATCAGCGTTAGCCTTCATCCCAGCAGGGGCTGTCCATCAGCATGTGCTGCTCACATCAGAGGGACCTGGCTTTCTGTTGCAATGTCTACCAGTGACATAAATGATGAAAGTAGAAGCTAATGTTGATAGGATTGATATTCTAGAAGACCCTTAGTGCTCAAGGTTGCTGCTCTACTGAAATAAGCAGGGACACAACCTCCTCTTTGACAGGTTGCGATATCAAAGAGATCAAGGCAAGTGTAGCAGTGGTAGAAGACAAAGGTGTAGTTAAGAAAAAGGTGAATTGAGCCTGTTGTATTATATCCTGTGGGATCAATATTCAGACTTCATCTGTCCTTGTTTCTTGTTCTGTAAATTACCCTGCTAGAGGGACCAGTTGTAACGCACTGAAGCTAAATGACATAATAGAAAGATGAGTGGGAAACTCAAGGCAAACAGCAAGTGAAATCAGAGAGAAATAGGCTCTCCTTTATAAATTGCCTGACATGTGCCAAATGAAATGTAATGCTGACAGATGTAAAGTTATACTCCACAAAAATAAACACAGGCAGAAAACAAGTAGAATTGAGCTACAACAGAATGACTTTGACTAAGACCTTGAAGAGATGATGGTACTTGCTCAGATAATGGTCTGACAATAAGGGAAAGCAATTTGAAAACAGGCATTTTGGAATACAAAAACTACACAGTGGCATTTGATGAAATACCAATAATGGTGTGAGTCTCTAACTCAGCCACTGTGACTCAAAACAATAAGTGTATAAAAAGAGGGCAATTTTTTTTTCTTGATTTATACAGTATTAATGTCCAACGGGCTGCTGGAGGCAATTGGCTCAGGAGAGATTTTAAGCACCCCTAGAACCTCTGTGAAGGTGGAAAAAAATAGTGGAGGAATTTGTTTCACCTGCACTGTTTATCATGGAAGATTCATGTGTTCTCATTAACAGCCTTCTCCCTAACACAGTTCAGACTGTGAAATCTCATGGACACTCACCTTGTGGCCCCTTTCTTGACATGGTGCCTGCATCTCATACTCATACCAGAACAGCATTCCAGTTCTAGGGCATCACTGGCTAGATGCAGCTGTGGTTAGCATCTATCCACCCTGAGTGGGGAGACAGATGCAGAGCTGCACCATAACTCAAAATTCAGAACAAGCACTGAAGAGATACCAGATCCATGCATGATTATAAAATCTCCTTGGTTTCACTTCTGCTGGCTTTGTACCTGTGAAATTCAGTTCAACCTGACAGGGCAGTTTGTAAAGCCAAGCCAATTTCCTCTCAATCCTGGGGTTTAGCCCCTTTTGCTGTGAGTAGCTGTTTTCTTGTTTCATTAGGCAGATGGTTTCCATGCAGATGAATTTCTTTGACTGGGTAGGACATCAAGGGGAGCATAGGAACAAAACTACTTCACTTTCCTTGCTACAGGAATCCTTTCTAGGTCAGCATAAGAAGTCACATTCCTCTTACATTTAAAGTTAGGTATCAGTCAAATCTCTTTATGTGGTCAGTAGAGAGTTGAACATTCCCACAGTGAGAGTCATCCCATCCCAAGGTCTAATATAGATGGGAACTACTTATGTCATTCCATTATCTGTGAGTGAAACCCAGACAACCGATTTAAACTAGATGTCTGGATTTTGGAAGATTGACATTAAGTTTACTCAGGGCTGAGGAATCTGATGTCAGACAGCATCAGTTTTCAGTGGACTTCTTGGATTGAGAGAGCTGAATTCAAAGTCCTTCTAGGAAAGATTACATCCATGTAAAGAAGGTAAGTCTATTGCCAGCTTGCATAAATCACTAGACATTTTACAAGTAATTAGGGAGACCTTTAGGGAGATACTTGGCCTCTGTTAGTGGAGCCATGTTTTAATGTGAAATGCCTGTACTAACATGATTTAAATTAGAGAACTAACATCACTGTACTGGATGGGATCATTAAAAATTACACACAGCAGAGCAATCTTAAATTGAATTCAGATCATTCCTCTCTGTTTTTAGTAAAAAGTACAGACCAGAGTGTGACTATTTCATCATACTGTATTGTAATACTCTTATATGGGCAACCACTTATTGTACTTCAGAATCAGTGTCTTCAGTGTTATGATTAATCCTTTATTCCATAGTAATTTTCCATAGTAAAATAAATTAGATCTTGTGAAAGTCAACTTCAAGAGGAAAGGAGTAAACTTGAGGAAATGAGGGGAGAGTCCTGCAGAGATTCACATCAGACATTCATCAGACAGTATGGATTCTGTACTTCATATTGAAGGAAGCAGAATAAACATTTTCACAATTTGACTTCTGTTTTACAAATTAATGTTTGGGCAATCAAATTTAAACTTCCTCTCTTCTTGTAATAGGGTAAAAACATATGACTGTGGAGAAAGAATTGCTTGCTGGCTCTCTACGTTTCTTGGTCGTCCATGTCGCTTGATAAGACAAAGTTCAGGCGTGAAAAGCAAGTCACATCAGAAAAATACAAAAGGTATGTTGTCATTTTTTGTGGTTGTCACTATTTGTGGTTCCTCATGCAAAAATCAAGTTCATGGACTTCACACTGAGTATATAGGTACCCTGATAAAGGCTGAAAGAGTTATCCAGTATAGATCTAGTCATTATGTTTATACCCAAATTGACTTTTTGATGCCCTTCTACTTGTTAAATTTGGTTAAAATGTACAGATGTGCCAGTATGGGGGAGAAGTTATCATCATGACCATGATTTTGTCTGGAAACTTAAAGAGACCATTTAGAAATGATTGTGAAGAATCAAAATTTCATTACAAAAAATGAAATTTAATTATGAAATAATTGAAAGAGTATTAAAAATGCATAGATATTGCTCTTGTAAAATATTTTATAAATTTGGTAAAATCTCACTGCTATCTCAGTTTCTAACTGCATTGTATCATGATCATTTGCAGGTTTGAGGGCATCCTTGGAATATTTCCTTGGTGCCTGGAACCAAATGAATAAACTAGTAATGAGAATGAGTAAAAGGTCAAAGCAGAGATGAGGTGAAATTACTAATTTTTATGATCATTTTAGAATGTTGCATTGTTTTTTGGGTTTTTTTAGGTCTGTCATCTGCTACAAACATATCACTCTCTCTTGTGAATGAAGCACAATACCTGCTGATAAATGTAGCAAGCATTCTGCAGCTGAAAGAACACATTTCTGCAAGGTAAGATGCTTCTGTCTCCAAATGTCTCTCAGTGATCTTGGATTCCAGAATCTTGCCATAAGATGCCAATATAGGTGTTTTATGTGGAAAATTAGAGATGGTTGCTTTTCAACATTCAAAAAATATATAGCTACTAAACTGCTATAATTACTAATTATTTTATGATTTCTGAAAATTTGGATTAAACGTGTGAGCATCATCTTTCTACCAGTCATCTTCAGGAAAATTTAAATGAAATTTTTGTCAAATAATTTGGTGGAAAGATATTGAGAACCAGCCAACTTCTATTTGTCAGAAGAATAAGGATAAAGAGGTTTTCTTAACATAAATTGTCTGGCAGGTAAAAATATAAAGTCTGGCTCCCATGGGAATTATCTCCCATGGGAATTATTAAGATTTAGAGTGTATATGCACAACAGAAATACTTTGAAAGTATTTTCAGGACTGGAATAATTTTATTTCTTAATTTAATTTGGCTTTACTTATACAAAAGTGGGAGATAGAAGCAGCAAATGAAACACTGAGTCAGTCCATAGTTCAAAGATAACAAACCCCTTACCAAACAAATTTTCATATACTGACTACAGGAAGTTTTTGTTTCTTGAATATAAATAGGAAAGGTTCAAATTCCACAAGTCAAGTCCTCCATTATGTCTGTGCGTCCCACACCCCCAGCATTTGTATCTGAGCCCCCTTTTCCTGTCTCTTAAAACTTCTCTCCTGCTTCTTCCTGGAATCATCTTCTCTTTTCTTAGTCATCCACCAAACACATCCCCTGCACTGAAAATTCCTGCTTTGAGTAGAAGAGGATATACGTATCTATATATCTGCAGGAGGATATGTATATAGCTTCAGGATTTAAATCAACTGACTGAATGAAGCATCACCAAGACCACTGAAGCTTGCATTGTCTGAGGATTTTCCTTCTTCAGGAGAAGACAGTTGGGCAATTTTAGAATATCATGGGAAATATGTGTAGAAAAGGTTTGAAGCAGTCCATCTCTCAGTGTTTTGACTACCCCTTTCTCAGTGACAATTAATATCTTCTTTTGAGGCTTGACTGGCTGGGTTACATCTCTTTGGGAGGACACTTGCAGACATCCCTTACTCAGGATGGGCTTTTTCCCTGATAAGACACAGGGTGGAACTTTCCAGATATGGGGTTTGAGTGCAAAGATGAAGAGTAAGAAGCAGCAAGTGAGGAGAAAGGAGAACAATGAACTTCAGTAAAACATTCAATATCACATGATACACTGATTTTATGCCTAATATCTTCCAGCACAACTAGGTTTGTAATCTCCTTTTCATCAAAGGAAACTCCAGATGTGGCCAGAGCTGTAATGGTGACTGAGAAGCATCTGGCTTCCCACTCTGCAGTGGGAGTTGGAAGTGTCCTCCCTTCCATGTATTTTGCCATGCAGTGCCTTCTCTGGGTGCTGGAGAAATAAATTCAGATATACAGCATCCTCATTCTGCACCATTACTAAATCATGGAGTATGAACTTTCCAAATATTGAACTATCCAATGTACTTTTAATAACTACACTTATGGGTCTTTATTAAATATTGGAGTGTTTTTAGAAAGTGTTATTTAGCTTCTTGGTATTTGAGTTTGGTTTTACTTAAATGAAATCTGCTAAATTTTACAAAGAAATTTCAATTCTCAATTAAGTTTTTATAATTTCACTTTGTATCTTCCATAAGTAAAAACAAGTCTTCCAGTTTGTACTTGGCTCTTGAGAGGTGATCTAAAGCAGAAACAGCAATTAAATTAAAAATTAGAATCCAGTATACTGTTGGAGGGCTACATGTACCTGCAGCCATTTGTCTCTCTGGTGTTTCCATTACAGGTCACCTCCATGCAAATCCCTATGGCCTCGCCTAATGCTCAAATGTTCTTGCTAGAACTATAACCCTGAGGATATAAATATTAATTTTCCAGTTTGCCTATTAAATATAGGGAATGCATTCTTCATTGCAGAGACCACTGCTGTGAAAATCCAAAGCACCTAGGCTGACTTTGGCACATTACACTGATTTTCCAAACAGGTCTGTGTTGGGATTTGCAGGATGAGGGTACCTGCCACTCCGTCCAACCAATGCATGTTTTGTGGGAGAAGAAATAATGGAAATTTACTCAGATACATGTTGCCAAATAATTATAAGCATTTCTGAGGGCTGGGGGAGGTGCAAGAGAGGTGAGGTATTCTGGAAGTGAGCCCGAGCAGGTTGAAGGCAGAGAGATCAGGGGTAGGGGTGTTGCAATCTTCGAGTTCAGCAGCAAGGGGTAGATTAGTAGAAGCTTGAAGGTTTTTTCAGCAGGTGTCTCAGGACACTGCAGGCCCAGCTCTGAGGTTACTGGGCTTTTGATGCTCCCAGTGCAGGCTGGGGTGGCAGGCACTTAGATTTTGCAAAACACAGTCAAAACTAGAGGCTCCACAGCAGCCAAACTCCAAGAGCCCACAGCAGAGCCGGGAAGCACAGCAGCATAATTGGATGTGTTCCCAAGTAACTGCTATTTTCCTTCTTGTTTGTATGAGCACAGGAATCATCTGCACTTCCTGTTGGCTCCCACCTCCTGCACTCATTACAAATTGTGTCTCAGCCATGGGATTAACTGTGGATCTTAAGGGAAAACCTTTATCCTTGCAGCTTCCCATCCCACCTTCTGCCCTCAGGCTGCTGGAGCCCTTGTGAACACTGGGGCTTGGTGGAGCTGGGTTTCTGTGGTCTTACTGAAAGTCTGCACAGGCAATTGATCCTCATGCAGTTTTGTCTGCTAGAGCAGATCATCCAGACTGTTTAAAATAGAACCAAGCTCTTTTTTTTCACCTAACAGGCCACCTCTGCCAAGACTGCTTGATGTGAAGTTTTCCCTGTACTTAGATTTTGCATGTTTTTCTCTAACTAAAATACATTTTAAACTGTATGTCCTTACTTTCTTCTGGTTTTTTGGGGTTTTTTTTTTGTTTTTTTTGGTTTTTTTTTCTTTTTGGACAGAAATGCCACTTTTCACTGCTTACCCACATTTCCGCCTCTGCTGTAGAATGTCATATCCCTAAGTTGTCAGAGTACGGTTTATGGAGTATCAAAAATGGTTCATGTCCTTAACAGCTAATACAAAAAGAAGTGTTCTTCTCTCCTAACTGTGGCACTGAGGGAACGCTCTGGCAACTTTTACAGTGTCTTTTTTTTTCTTTTTTTCTGGTGTTGTTCAAGTTCTCCTTTAGAAGAAAAGTGAAGAATGGCAATTTGAAGATGCAGCAAGATTTCTGATATTTGTATGCAGTCTGATGCTCTTTCTGTCTCATATACATTCTCCACACTGACACAAATCTACACTCTGGCAGTTCAAATGCTTGTAAAGAGGAGGAGATATCACCACACAGAGATTAATTTTTTTAAAACACCTATCGTTTGGTGCAATCTTCTGCCTCCCAAAGGCAAATAATAATAATATGAGGGATATATTCTCTCATAAAATTATTTTACTGGCCTTTTTCACCTTCAGCGACTGCTGGTTTTGTCCCTTCTGACATTGCAGCATGTGCAGAATAAAATTTTATTTGCCTTTGATTCTAGAAGCTTCTATTTTTACAATATTTAACAAGTCAAATGATTACTAACTGAAAAGATCTTTTTACTTGTTACCATTAGCCTTACATATGATAACAAATTGGGAATTTTCTCATATGCATGGTTCACAATCACCTGTCTACATGTTTCCATACCTACAGTTCCAGGTTCCACCTCTGAAGAAGCCACCTAGAGGGTTGCATGTTATGGCTGAGAGGTTACAAACTCTAGTTGAGTACCTTGTGCCATTTCCATAGCCTTTGTAATAAAACTTGGTCCAGGTTATTCTGGAGAAGAGTTTGCTAATCACATGAGCCACCAGAGTCTTACAGCACAAACATCTAGTGCAAAACCAGTTAATAATTTTTTTTTTTTTTTTTGCTCTGTCAACTCTGTGAGACAGACTGAAGGAGCCATTGGAAATAGAGGAATTGATCCGACGTTTCCGTGCCAACATTGTCATCAGTGCACCAGAGTCCTTTGAAGAAGAGGAGTGGGCTGAGATTTCAATAGGTGCTCTGCAATTCCAGGTGTGACCTTTTCTCTCTTGTCCGTGCCCCAGTGTATCACAAAGCATTTTGATTCCTGGAGACAAATCAATTTTTACAAGGTTTTGACTACAATATGGGCAGCACACTTTGTGCAAGTGAAATTTATGAAGATGGAAAAAAAAAAAAAAAGGTGATGTGTCCCGTGACAAACATATGTCATTATATTTAAGAGGTTTTGCCATATTTCTCCACACTTCTATTAAATTTCATAATTCATAGTGTTTCTAATTTTTATCTATCTGAGCTGAACAATAATCAGGTTATTTGAGGCAGAGTTTACAGCACATATTTAGCCAGCACATCAGCAGAGAACACTTGTTACTGTTTAGCACAGTAGTCCAAATATAACCTCACGTTACTGCAAATCAAGCAACTGATGGCCAAAAGACTGGACATGAATGCAAGTGAACACTCATGGTCTATTGCCCTCTGTTGTATACATCTTATCCTAGTCTTCACTCAAGGCATGTTTCTAATTCTTGCCTGGTAGGGTTTTTTGGTATGTTGTGCTTCATGTCATAGCTAACAACATAATGTCCTGGTATACTGTAAGGAAAATGCTGAGGATTCAGACCTTGTTTGTAAATACATTCTTTCAAGAAAAACTCTTAACAAAGAATCTGTAAAAGCTTACATGATACCTAAGGGATATGAAATATTTATTTGAAGATGCTTTGCCTAGGATGTGAAAGTGGCTTAGTCACTGTTTTCTTAGGGGTTATAATTTAAGTGTGTGAATGACAGGAGTACCAAGGTCAAATCTAGAAGATGTGATTGGTGTCACTCTTTTTTTTTTAGTCAGCATGCTGTAAGAAACCTTTTCAGCAAGGGTGGAAAATATTGCTTGTCTGGTCTCTTCTTATGTGTAGTTTGATCTGTAAGTTGCAATATAAGTTAGAGAAAATTGAGGAAAAATTCCTATAAGTAAGAAATGAGGAACAAAAAGGACAAAATCCATGGTGTATAGCTTGTTGGAGGCTGAAGTTACGCTGGGAGTTCAGCTGAGGATCCTGTTGATAAGTTACTGTAAAACTACAAAATAAAAGGCATTCCTATTTCTGGCATTGATATACTTAGGAATACAAGGCAAAAATAGAAAGGTTTATGTAACTTGCATTTTCTTTTCCCATCTCTGCTAGATCCTTTTTCAGATACTGATGTAGTAACACTAGAAATTATGTTAATGCTTCTTTATGCCACAAAAATGGTAGAAGATGTTGGACTAAGTAAAGCATGGAAAAAAATATTTCCTTCTCTGTCTTGTTCTTTTAATTAAAAAAATAGAGCTGTAGAAAATAATTTTCTGAAAGAGATGATGTTTGGTGTTGATGATTATGCTGAAGAATTATACAAGCAGTCTAGATACATCTCAAAAACCTGAAATATCACTTCAGATCAGCACACAAAATGTTTCAAGTGTACAATTTAATTATTTGCCCTATTTGAAATTTATGGCACATTTTAGAAAAGTGGAATGTGTATACTGAGATACTGTAAGACGTAATTTCTGTAATGTACAGCTTTGCTAAAGTTAGGGATGCAGTGTTAAATGAAAGTGCAATATGTCGTCCTTCTCCATTTTAAAGCTCTAAGAATAAATTTATTGCAGGGTTGGTTTTTTTTTGGTTTTTCTCTAAATTACTTCAAACAACAATTAGCTTTAAGAACAACTACATATGATATTAACATGATGTGTGATACATAATAGAGAAAGAATTCTTTCTTCTGATTAGGTAAACTTGTATATTTAAATAATTTACATTCTGAGTATCTAAAAGTGCCATGTGTATAGGAAATATATTGGGCATTTCCCAGTCCCAAGAAAATCCTCCTTGAGTTGTATTCTGAGGCATTGGCTTAATTTTGTATTCAGTTCTTTGGGCAAGGAGCCCTGCTAACCCACAGAAGAAGTGAAGCCATCAGGAAATACAAATATGTAAATGTCTGGTATTTCTCAGATTCTGTCTCTGAGAAAGTTTTCCTTAAAAAAAGAAAAAAGTGAATTAAAAATTCAGTGAGACTTTTGTGAGTAGACTTACTACATTAGGTGAACAGAGTTGACCTTTTACATAATGAAAGCTTGAAAAACCACAGAAAAGGTATGCAAAAGGTATGTGTTTAATATATTATGATGGTCGGAAGCTTGTACTGTTCCATGCTGTACTGCTTTGATAAACAGCCATGAACTTTCTTTAACTAAAATTTCAGGTTGTGGGTCCATGTAGCAGATGTCAAATAATCTGCATTGATCAACAGTCTGGGGAACGAAACAAAGAAATTCTACAGTCCCTGTCTGCTGCCAGAGGTAGAAAGGTCAGTACAATACTTCAAAATAGCTGTAATGAAAGATGTAGTGACTTTATTGCATGGGTAGTGAAATATCTGCTGAGTGAATATTCACAGTTAAGTTGTTACCATTTGGATTTTTTCTGCAGAAAGAGGATGCACTTACAACCCAGATATGGCATGGTTTATTTCTATAAAATGCTCAATACATTTTTTTATTCAGAAATGGAATATTAATATGCATTATTTTTAACTGTGCTTGCTTTTATTCAGTATGTACTTCTTTACAGTGTGCTTATTTTGGTCTTAAAAGCACAAGCTGATGCACTGATGTCTTTTAAGAAAAGAAATATGCTGAAAAATTCAAAAGTGATTGAAATTATACAGTTGGCGTGTAAGACTAAACTCTATTCTTACCCTGAGAAATTAGTTAGCAGGAAAAACAGAGCAGATGTGAATATAGTCAAAGTAGAGAGTAATTGCTTAAGAAAGTGACCAGAAAAGTGTGAAATACAGGTGTTTATTTGAGGTCCTGCTTCCTTAGGTTACATTGCTTCTTGGAATTCAGAGTGCTCAGATGGTGGATAGAGAGTTCAACATCCCAAAGGCTCCCCAAATCTCCTCATATGTATTTATTTAGCTGAAAATCCTTATTCAGAATTCATTGCTTCCCGTTGGTTAAGCTGCTGTTGTTAAAGTGTCTCAGGCAGTCGGAGCTCGGAGCCTTGCCAGTACCCGCCAAACAGCAGAGACAGGGCACAGCAGTGGCACAGAGCAATAACAAATAGGCTGAAAATCATTCAACCAGACAATGCACAAACAACTTACAAATACTGCATTCTATGTTTGGACAAAAAAAAAAAAAAATTGATTGGTCTCAGTGACTCATTAAGCAGACAAAGGGCTTTCTTTTCATTGGCTGTTATCCTTGGTGAATAGCTCCTCTGGCTCCATGTCGGAGCCAGCCTGATGCAGTGAGCAGGGCCGGCTGTCGAGGCACAGCTTCCCACTGACCTGAGGTGACTTAGGCTTGCACAGCAGACTCTGCTTCAGGTCACCACAGTACATGAGCCTTTGTGAGATGAGCTCCTGGCCACGGTGGGTAGCCTGAGGACAGGGGCCCTTTCCGAGTAATGGTGAGCCACAGCTGCGGCATCTGGGACACTTCAGAGCACATTTGGACACTTGGGACAGGGATGCTCCCTGCTGCCACATGAGGTATAGTGTGCAGAGGACTTTTCCTGCCCATATGGGTTTTACTGGATTATGACTTGAAACCTCTGTAAAAAGCACTCTGTACTCAGCGAGAAAATGGCAACAAAACCTTACTCAGGATGCAGATTCTCAGGAGAGGCACAGCACCTTCTGCATGTTTCCCACAGCAAAGATGAGCTCCTGTCTCATTCTGATTAACTCAACAGTGAAGAGATTTTCTTGAAGCACTGCTAGCACCAAGTGGCTCATTCAAACAGGACTAAGGCAAAGAGAGCAATCCAGCCTCTCGAGAAGGAGCTGGCGCCTGATAAAAGCCACACTGCAAGATGAGGCAGGCGCTGCTGATCGCGGCGGGGCAGTGCTCTTTCTGCCTCAGCTGTGCCAATGTTCACGCTGCAAAGACACAGGCATTCATCCTTTTTTGGTTTTTCCCAGCCTTTTTCCAGCGCTGCTGGCCGATGGGGTCTTGTGAGCATGCCCTGCTCTGCGTGAGTGTGAGTCCTCTGGCTTAGCTCACAATTGAAAGTAGAGTTTGAGCTGGGAGCTTTGCCTAGTCTGGTCTGGGCAGATCTCCGAGCCCATTCCTCCTGCAGGTCGCCTCTGTGGTGGTGGGCACCAGCTGATTATCAGTGAGCAGCACCTAGGAAGGACTGTGGCATTTTTAGTGTGCTCAGCAGACCTAACAGAGGACACTGATCCAAACCTTTCACAGCTCACAGTGGGGAGAGAGAAAGAACATCGAGTTCATGTGACTGTGTTAAATCGCAGAGCTAATCCTTTGGTGACTCATATCTCTACCATGTGCTTTTCTGCTAAGGAGTCATCTAATAGACTTAATTTTCTTTTATTTCTTAAATCAGATGCAGATTCAGTGAAGGAATTCAGCAGTATTTGCTCCCATCTGTCAATAATCTGATGCAAACTACAAAAAAAAAAAAATATATATATATATAAATATATGCAGAAATATAAGATTTAATATAGTTTCACAGGTTTTTGGAAAACTGCTGTAGCAAGTTGATTGCCAAAACATTAAAGATACTGCAGATAGAAAAGAGACCCAGGTGTCAATATTTACAGTATTATTTTGTTTTTTCCAAGAACACCAACCTGAAAATATTACATTGAAATTTATCAAACAAGTAGCCCAAATAGCAGCACTGCCAATGAACTTCAATAATGAGCTAAATAATGTAAGGCTGGTAGGAAGCAGTTCAATATTGATTTCCAAAATCCTATTTTTCTCCATTCCTCTGAGACTCTGAGAACCTGGTGCTTCAAATTGAAAGATGGAGCCTTTGCATAGATGGATTGCAGCTGAAAGTCAGAACCAGCTACTGTAACTAGCCACCCAAGCAATTTACATCTTTCCAGATAAATGCAAATCATGGTGCTGAAGCCTTGCCAGCTGCTTTTTATGAAACCTTTTAAGTCATTGTTTGACACAAAATGTGAACACCTCTATAAAGTGAACTTGAGCTCTACAGAAACACTCATAAAGGATTCCTTTTGTAATTTTCGACTGGAAAGGAAAGATGAGCTCTCCTCGTGTGACAGAGTGCTCTTTGTTACTGCAGGAGATTAGGAAAGACTAGATAACTCCATTAAGCAAATGGCCACATGCTGTTTCACAGGCCTCACCACCTGACACAAAACACACATGGATGGAAAAGGGAGAACACAGCATTCCTGCCTCTCTTTGGTGTTTTGCAGATGCCGTTTAGCGCTAATGGCAGCGGAAGCCCTGTGGGTAGATTTGCGGCAGTGCTATAAGCTGGGGCTTGCTGGCAAGGTAGCAAAGGGAATTTTTACATTAGCAGTCTGCCCTGGTCTAAATGTATGGATAGCAGTACATCAAGGGAAATCCATTATGTTTGCACACGCCTTCTTCACTAAAAAGCTTGTGTTTTTTTCTGGGGCCTGTTGATCCTCCTTTATGTATCTTGTTGTGCCTTGGGAGAGCTTCTTTTCCTGCAGAATTAGAAGCCATACCTTTGGATTGCTTCGTGAAATGTTATCAAGGATAGCAAATTACCTCTCATATCTGATGCATCATTATCATTATTTTCATAGTAACACAGGGCTTTACACCATGCAATGATTTTCATTCAAATATCTGGAACATTTGAGAACAGCGATTGTTGTAATTAATAGTCCTCTGAAATAATATAGTTCTCTTTTCTCATCGGTGACTGAACTGGAAAATGTATTTAGTTAAGGTAGAGCAAAGGAATATCAGTTCTTAAGGAAACATTCTACAGTCCAGATATTTTCAACAGAACAGTGTGGGGTTTTATTAACACCAGCTTAAAATTTTACCTTTTTCCAATATAAAAAATCAGTATGTCAGAAGTGAGTACTTCCTCTCTCCTATTTTGTAAGGCTTTACATTCTACTAAATCTAAAGCTAATAAAACATTATTACATTAAAAAAATCCATTTTAATAATTGCATCTCCAAAATTTTTGGATGAGAGGGAGTTTATGTTTTTGTATGAACAAATGATCAGACTTGGACAGGTAAATTTTTCTGCTGGGATATGGCAGCTGAGCTGTAAAGTCCAGAACTCATCCATCTAAAGCTAAGTATTAGCATGCAGTATGATTTATGTGCTTGTTACACATTCTATCAGGGTATTTCTTTACCAGGTTCCACTCTGAGTTAACTGATTCTTTAGGAGTCATAGCTCGAAGACATCTCACCTCAGGCCTTTGCCAGATGAAGCCCCACGTGTTTCTGTCTTGCAGAAGGGGATAGTGTACACAGGGTATTTGTCAGTGAATTTCTGAGCAGAGCATATTACTGTTGATGCAGTAAATGAACTTGAAACAACATGCAAGAATGACAGCATTTCATAGCTCCTCCTTTAAGTCAGTGTGATGACTATCATATGATTCACTGTTGGCAAGAATATGTATGTTGTTTCTATTTCTCCCAGCAGTGAAGTGGTCTACTTTTTTCTAATCAAGAAGCTTTAAGTTTTTTGTTCCTGTAACATTTTACAGTAATGGGAAAAGTCTCGACTGACAGATAAAGCCATGGTGCTCATGGTCCTGCACTCCCTGCCCAGTTCTTAGTGTGTTCTAGGAAGATTATATGCAGAATAAAATGTCCTTGAAGTCAGGAAAAGGTAGCAGGCAGATATCATGAGGTTCACTGTAATAACTCTGTGAGCTGTAATCTCTGCATCTGAAAGCCTCATTTTTCATCAGCAATGTGAGGATTTCTACGTTTTATCTTTCTCTTGAAAGAGAGCTGAAGTGGCAGATGTAGCTTTTGTGGCTGCTTGGCAGGGGTGTGTTTGTGTGATTGCTGTTATCAGTACGTGCTGAGTCATTATTTGTAATTATTGAAAAAAGTAGGGAAATTTACTTAAAAGATGTTAAATCTATTTCTGGCAACTACAGGCTAAATTTTGGTTTTAAGAACATCCACAAAAAAAAAAAAAAAAAAAAAAAAAAAAGGTCGGCAATTCCAAGCAGGCATTAGTACTAAAATATGTACACCATCAGTGTATCATCACCTTGGAAACTGCTTAGGCATTACTCACTGAAAAAAACACTGAGACTTGAGATGCCCAGTCAGAGAAATAAAATACTAAGGACCAGTATTAAAACAGTATTTGAGAACTCCTGAAGAAAAGATGCATTGAGACATGCATTTTCTTAAATAATTCTGAATGTTTTAAGGTGCATTAAAAAAGAAAAAATCCTGCTAGATTATTTTCAATAACAAAAATTGGTAAATTAAGTTCCTCACAGTGAACAATCTGCCCAGATTTATTTTAGTCTCATTTGAAGATACATCAAGATGACAATACAGTAAATATAAATAAAAACTTCTCATGCATCAAATAAGCTCATTTACGTGGATGAGTTAAAAAATTCCTTCCTGTGTGAAATGTGGTGTAGCATGAACTAGTATTCATTTTACAATATTTGTTTTATAATGGCCTGTTTTTTTAAAATAACAAAATCATGGTAACTGTCATTTTTGCACTAGGGTATAGGAGGTGAATCCAGCTTATCAACCAGAAGGCTGAAAAACACATCATTTATGCCAATAGAGAAACTTGTCAATGAATGAGAGAAAAGCAAAAATGGAAAAATAAGACTATGAACTTTAATATTTTACATGAAACTGTTACTGACACCATTAGAGCGTGATGGTTGTTCCAACAGAGTCCCTCTGCTAGAGGGCTGGGATCTTATGGTGCTGCAGCCATTCCTCAGCAGTAACCTTAGAATGCTGTCCACAGGGATGTGCCCTGTGTCCACCAATACAGCCACTTGTACCCAAAAAGTGCTAGCAGTAGGATCTCGGGTTTCCTGTGGTCAGGATGAACCCAAGAGTCCTTTTTCCCAGCCCGATGGTCAAAGAAGGAGTCAGAATTCCTTGGCTCTGGTTTTCAAGGTTGTTTATTTTCTCCTACCTAATACATTCTTTTCTTGACCTGCTGACGTCTCTCTTGCAGGTCTGTCCAAGGCACACTGCCCGCCCTTGGGCTGGTGTCAACATTTTATACTAAAAACTATGTGTACTTTATTTTCCATTATTTTCCAATACCTATCACCTATGTTAGACTGTCTACTTCTACCCTAAACCAATCCAAAAGTGACAACATCACACAGAAAATGGAGGCTAGGAAGAAGAAGGAAGAAGGACAAGACAACACCCAAATCCCTCCATCTTGCCTCCTAGACCCCTATACTAAAAATCCCCCAAATTCCACTTTTCACCCTGTGATAAATTCATTATCATTCTGCTTAAACTTCTGTGATTTGTAACTCTTCATACAAGGTTGGTAATTTGCTCCGTGGGTTAAAATCAAAAACCCAAGTGTCTTTGGCTTCCTGCCAAGATCTCTGAGCCCCCTGCCAGGGGCTCGAGCCATCCCAGAGGGATGTGCTGGGTTCCAACAGTAGGATAGGCCTGAGAGGTCCAGCTCATGCCCTCTACATGTCCCATGCCAGTGAGATGAAGGAATAGCAGAGGTAGCCAAAAATACCTAAGCTTAGGGCCCATTTTTCTCATTGATGTTTAGGATTAGAAATGAAGCAGAAAGACCCAAATTCAGGGTCTGTGGCCATGTTTGGATAGATCTCTGCTTTACGGCATCTCTCTTACTTGGGAGTAGATCTCAAACTTACCTCTCATAAATTCTTCAAAAACTAAGAGCTGTTCTCTGTTACCTCATTCCCTCATCTATTTTTTTTCTTTGTCGCAATCCCTTTTACCTACTATTTTTTTAACCTGCTCTAAATGTAATTCACTCAATTTCAGGATCATTGATCTGAACAATGGCAGTAAATGTAATCAGGAAATAGAAAAAGATAATAGAATTTTGTATTTGGGTTGCTTATTTATTTACTTTATAATGACTTGTACATTTTGGCTGTAGTCTACCAAATCAAAATACTTTTTTTTTTAAACCTGCAAGAAGAGACAAAAAAATTAATATTGGGTTTCCATGGTCCTCAGTTTAAAGAGTAAAGACTTTCTGAAGTCTAAAAATCTGTGTCAATTTAGCATGATCTTTACTCTTCTTTTTTTTTTTTTTCCTACTTTATGTATTCTTTGATTAATTATTATCTAATTCTTTGGAAAATATTGTCATGAGATGACAAATCTTTTTCTTGCATGTTTCTAAATTCTCCACTGCTGCAAAACAAAACCACAGAACCACACCAGTCTCTTCCTGTGACATTTCCAGATCACACCCACAACTGTAACACTCAACTGCTTGAGATCAAGACCTCACATAAGAATGCAGACACTCAGATCAGGTTTTTGGTGCCTGTGAAGGTTGCATGGTCAGTGGGCAAAATGGATATTCTATTTTTCTTTTCTGTATTACTCAGTATCCCAAAGAGATAGTCTAATTATTTCTAATATTTATGCAGGATGGATTCACAGATAATGACACTTAACAAGTGAGAACAACAATAAAAAAAACTTGCTGAATATTTTCTGTAGAATATTCATAAAAAACAAATGAAGAGAAACTCACAGAGGCTAGGCAGAATAAAGTTCTGCTATCAGAGCAAATAGTTCATGGTAGGAGATGCAAGACTTCTTTACTGTTGGAACATACCAGTGTTCCCATGCTGCAGAGCCTTTGTTTGTGACAATACATTAACTGCATTTGTCAAGGAGCCAGAGCAGACATTAGATAACAAGATTGTGAGGGAGTGTGAATTACATATATGATACTATGGAGCTCATGATGAAATACTGTGTTATTTATCCACTTACTTAAGCTATTCTTCTTGAATAGCATGGCATTAGCTTTTGTTTACCAGTCTATTATAATTAATGAGTTAAGAATGTTCTTAATTACATGGACATAGTACACACCTCCTTATTCTTAAAGCAATATATTCTAAACATATTGAGAGATAAACATATTGAGAGATCCTCTAAACATATTGAGAGATCCTCTATAGAATTGATTAGTCTAACATGCATTGCATCTTAATAAATATTTTGCTTTTTTTCAGACAAACTTTGGCATATACCTGATGAACCAGCCCCTGTGCTCATCCTTTTCAGATACTTTATCAGTTGGGTCTCAAGTACTTCCAGTGCTGAAGGAGAATACAGAAATTCAGCCTCCAACATCCAGTGAAGAAAAATGTTCAGGATAGATTCTCTGGTGGAGATGAAATTTTTATGCAGCTACAGGGAAAAGTCAGTAGTCAGTTACACACAAAAAAAAAAAGAAAAAGCTTCCACTCATTTGCTACTGGTAATTTTCTGTTTGCTGTAAATGTTATCAGATGGCATAACTGTTGATAATTACAGCTCACCTACATGTTTTTGCTTGTGATTAGGTTGCAGCAGCCATAACTATTTTGCACAATTGCTTCAGGACGCAACAGGTTTGATCAAGTCTTACTGGTGGATGACTCCCAACAAGCCCAGCTTTGTTGTCAGAAAGCCACATCTCAATGAAGGAAAGTAAACACAATAATACACTACTTCCTTCTACTGCTTTGTCAAAACCCCAATTAGAAGAGGATGCAAGACATAGTTTAGAAACAATGTGGGTGGGAAGAGAGCAGTGGAAGAGTGGCATGAGAATAGCAGTGCATTCAGCTTTTCCAAAAGGAAACTGAAGGTGATGTGTAGACAGTGTGAAAGCAATGGAAAAGGGGGAATTATTGGGAAGTCTGTGTCTCCCCCTTTGGAAGTAGTGTGTGAGAACACCACCACAGCAAAGATAATGAGGATTCATTTGCAAGACACATTCCCTGTGAAGGAATTCCATCCATTTGTTCTCAACATCTTTCTCTTCCATTTGTTACTTTTCCATCTGATTTATTTTATGTGATGTCTTCTCTGGGATTTTTAATGTAATGGTGTCCCTGCCTATAGAAGGGGAGTTGGAACTAAATGGTCTTTCAGGTCTCTTCCAACCCAAGCCATTTCATGACTCTATGAGTTCCACACTCTTGTTTCCTTATACATTTGTGGATGCTGACACATTATTTCTAATTAGAGATTTTTCAAGTAATTGAAAAATGCAGTCATTTTCTATACAAACTTCGTTTATCCTCAGCAATCTCTAATGGCCACTTGAGGGAACTCTTGAGAGTTTGAATGCTTCTCCATCAAACCTGACAAACAGGTCAAAGCATTCTTTTTTCTTACCCTTTCTTCATTTCATAATGCCCTTCTTAAATGGCTGTTGGCAGCTCCTAAACAAGACTCGTGCTTTCTGATTTATGAGAGAAAATGTCTGAAACCTTAGTCTGAAGTATCAATTATTGTGAAAATTTAAAAAATAAATAAATAAAGAAGGACACAGAACAAAACAGAAAACCCACATGGAAAGTCAATGTAAATCAAGACTGAATACATTGAGGCCAGGAGTTTTGTGACCCTCAACATGTGTCCAGCTAGCCACGGGATGATTTCATGCTTCCAGGAAGTCCTTCTGGAAGACAAAATTCTCCTAGACTGGCTGCTCTATTGCCATCTGGGAAGTGAAATTTTGACCCCACTAAAAGCACCATCAAAACTCTCATCCAATACGGTTTAGGGGCAATTTTGGCTCCAGCTGTGTGAAAGTGCTTCTGGCTGAAGCAATCCTTGAGTTGTTTGACTATATCCCCGGAGGGAGGCAGGCGGCTTTGTGAAAGAGTTGGTCAGACAGTCATTCTGAAAGGAGAGCGACTACCACGGAGCAGCAGAGAATGGGAGAAAGGAAGCTCATCACCCAGTGCACAAATCAGAATTCAAAAATGCTCTTTCTTCTTTCTATCTTTCCTTTTTTTCTTTTCTTTTTTTTTTTTTTTTAATGTATGGTTTCTTTTTTCTTTTGTTCTTTTGAAGAACTGGTTTTACTCACTTCAGCTGGAACAGTTTCTCAGCAGAGCTTTGTAATGGAAATGAGAAGAAACATTATCTGTTTCTTACAATCTGCCATAAAATACATGGGAAGAGAGAGGTTTTTCATATGTATGTAAACTGAAAATCAGTTTTGAGAGTTGTACCTTCCACTTCAGAACCCAAGGTCTGCTCCTTGATGCCTACTTTGAAAAGCAGGGAGTTTATCTCTCTAATAGTCAATTATCTGAGGTTGTAATGACAAGGCTTTTTTAGAACCTTGAAAAGCAGTTTCCTGGTATCTAAATCTCTTAACTGCTTCACTTTCTGTTATGCAGAGCATTGCTTTGTTGGGTAGAAAGCCAGCATAGCTCTGGCAGATTTAATATGAAGAGACCTGTTGTATGCTGACCTTCAGTGATCTCTGGTGTTCTGCTCTGTCCTCTTCACCTCACCACTGTGTCATTTGTTTAAAATGGCACACAAGTTAGAAAAGGAAATTGAAAGCAACCTCAAAAAGCTCTGTTTCACTCATTATTGCATTTAGTACAAAATAAGTCACTTTGGTACACAGTGGCTTGACAAATTCTGTTTGTGAGTATCCATAATGCAATGTATGATAACTATGGATGAGAGGATTTGAACTTTAAAAATGTCATGCTTGGTCATTTTGACCTATTATTTACAGTCAATTACACATTCTCTCTGCTGTGGCTTGGTAATATTAGATCAAGAATAATTTTGCCATTTTACAGAGGGGAAAGAAAGATTTTCTCTGATGTATGAACATAGTCATTAGTATAGTCTGTGCATTTCCCAGAAGGAACATCCTTGTGGTACAGTGGTAGGAAATGTCACAACACTTCAGATTGATGGAAGATACACAAGGAATCTATCAGCTAAATAAAAGATAATATTTCCCTTCTAGTAAGTGGAGTATTCCTGCCAGTACTGATATGTCTTTCCATCGATGAAGACAAATTCTTCTCAGTGATAAAACTCTGTGGAGAATCTTGAAGTGCAAAAAGTCACTTTTAAATGGCATGCACTGTAAGTTTGCAGAAAGAACAACCCTTCCATAATGTGAAAAAATAATTCAGAGGAAGAAGAAATTTAGCATTCTGCAATGCCTAGGACTGCAGATACAAAAGAGACATAAACTCTTTGAAACACTCTATTAAAAAATTATATGTTCTATAAGGGTTTATTTCTTAATTTTCCAAGTATATAGAAAATAAGACCACTTCGTATGAATGTAGGCTCTTTGATCTAAATACTCCAATTACTGCCAAATTAAATCTTTTAATAATTAAATAATAATTGCAGATATATGTTTGCCTTATATGGATAATAAATGTACTTAATATAGTATGTCCAGAGTGCTATATATAGAAAGTCCTCTATATGTTTGAAAACCAAATGCTTATTTACTTGAAATGAATTATTCAGACATATTGCATTCTCTGTGAGACATAGCCCCTTCTCAAATCTCAAAGTAAAAATGGTGATTGTTAGAAGTTCTAATAATAGCCAGGAGGCTGAAATCACAAAACAGAAATCAGCATTTTTAGGAGAAGTTTCTGAGCTCTGTGTTTTCTGATACGACTGTATTTCAGATTAGTTTATGATTTATATACTTTCAATGGTGTCCTTCAAAGTATTCTAAAAATCTTAGGTCATCTTTCTGTCAAAATAAAAGACTGCATAAAAATATGATTATTCTCCATAAATTGTAGAGATTATGCTATGCTAATCATCTTTCATCTGGTTTTTAACTTCCTTGGAAATTCAACCAATAAAATATATATTGTGTTTGATGTGTCTGCTGATGATGGTTGCATTCCCGACCTTCAAGCTCATGAGGTGCTCAGTTCTGCCTGGAGGCACGGCTGGGCACGTGGATGATGTGGCTCAGGACTGAAGGGATGTCTCATCGCTGCTGGGATTCACAGGTGAGGTGTTCCCTCTGTCTGTGTAGCCACGTGCCAGTCAGCTGCACACGCAGACTCTGTACTAAATGAACTCATAATCACTGGTTTCCTTTGAAATGTGTACAGTCAGTCCTGTTGAATCCATCTCTGTTATCCAGTGGTTGGAGCTTTCACCAAGGGTGAGATGGTCACAGAAGAGATGGTTTATTTCTCTCTCCTTTGCCTGGAGGGATCCAACACTTTTTCCTCACTGTCTAACCTGTCAGCCAGTAGGGAAGACCAAACAGGAGTTGGTGTGTAGGAATCTCAGGGAAGGCTTGTCCCTCCCTTCTCATGAGGTTTATGTGGAAATGATCTGTGACTCACAGGGCCAGCAAGAGACAGACATGAGTGCAGTGAGGCAGCATCCACATGTGACTTCAAGCTACTTGTTCATGCATATTTTGATTCACTGAGTGTGAGAGGGAAAGAAGAGCAGAACTCTGTAACTCAACAGGTAGGTCACTCCCATGGAGGTGAAATGTGGGTACATCCCTGTCTCTCCATTATACAGCTGTCATGAGGCAACTGCTGGAGGAAAACATAGACATAGCCCCCAGAGAGGGGAGGAGAAGGCAGAGTGCTCCTTTCCATGAGCATTTTGAGACTGTTTGCAGAGGCAGCCTTGTCTCCTTCCTATGGCCACCAGTGTGTAAATAAAAGGTGGAACTTCATCAAGACTAGAAAAGAACCTCCCCACTGTGTTTTGAAATAGGCCATTAGGGGGAATATGAGTTTGAGTCATCAAAAGATAAAATCAAAATATGCCTACATTTCTGACTTCTTGGCACGTATGCCAGTGGCAAGGCCAGAGTGAACAAGAAAAAAATGTGGGAGAGAAAAGTGGCATTTTCTATAATCAGAGTTTAAGAGAAAGTTGTGATGTACATGCTTTCATCACCCAGTTTGTGATTTTTTTTTTTTTCCCAGAAAATAAAGGATGTAGGTCCTTTAGGCCCATAAATCACAATCTGAGAACTTGGAGTAAGTCACTGACAGAGGGGTGCCTCTAAAGCAAGGCACCATTTGAGAGGCTTCTTTTCCCTCCTTTTCATGCCAACCAGTTTGCTTTGCTAGTCACTTGGTGAGGTGGTGGTTGTGGGTCCTTTCCATTGGAAAAGAAAATAGGCAGTTTTCCTGCATGAGAAGTGAAGTGACTTACTCAGGACTATAGACAGGAGAGATGTTGGGGAAGTTTGAAATGGGGCATCTTTGAGCATCACTGTCATGGGCAGAGTACATCAGGAACCTCCTTAATAATCCCAGAAATATGTGTTACACAGAAAAAGTTAGTAATTTTTCTGCTGGTGCTGTGAAATCTTCCTCTAAGGATGATATTCAAGAATTGTTCCATTGGGGAACAGATCATTGCAAAGGCAAATTGCATGTTGTGGCATTTGCCACTCAGAATTGCTGAGTGGCAAAATACCCAACAAGTAAGACAAAATGTGAGAAATCAGGGAATTTAATCTAGTACAGCGGTTTCATGGCATATTTGAAAGGATTTGAAAGTATCTCAAATGTAAAACCCCTTCCCTTCTGCGGCTCATACATAGCCTATAACTGAGTACATTTCTGTCTTAAACCAAATTTCTTCTGTGAGCTAATCTCTTCCAAACTTGCAAAACTTCTCAACACACTTCAAATATGGAACTCAACATCAGCTTCTCCTAGATAACCAGTACAGTTATCAGAAGTACCATATTTGAGCCCCTTTCATGCTTTTTGTTGGCTTTCAGGGGCAAGTGTCCCATCTGGATTAAAGCACTCTGGCCAGGATTGTTAATGCAGAGATGATTCCTCAGTCCAGAAGTGAAATCAGCTTTTGATTTCTAAAAGGGCTGTTTTCCATGAGGCTGTGTTTTAAAAGCCAGCAGTGATCTAATATCTAGTGTGTTGTTTCCTGGTACTTATGATAGATGAATCAGATAAAGCTGTTGAAAAGTTTGTGAGTTATTATTTCCAGAAGCTACAGAAAACTAGAAGACTACAAGAAGGCCCTGCACTGCTGAACCCATTCTACAAATGGAGATGAGCCTCTGCAGTATCCATCATTCATGGATGTAATTCCTGTGAGTCATGTGTTAAATATTTGTAACTTCACTGGTTTAGCCAAATGCTTTCAATTATTTCTTATCCTTGGAGCCTTTGTATTTCCTGTCCAAGTTTTCCCAGCAAACCCTTTAGTACTGAAATGAAATTAAATTTTTCTTGGGTCAAATGTGTGTTTTTATTCTGCTTTAAGGAATAAGAGGAAACAGTCTCAAGTTGTGCCACAGGAGGTTTATGTTGCATATTAGGAAAAGTTTCCTCATGAAAAGGGTTGTCAAGAATTGGAATAGGCTGTCCAGGGAAGTGTCTGAGTCACCATCCCCAGAGGTATTTAAAAGACACACAGATGTGGTTCTGAGGAGCATGGTTTAGTGGTGGACTTGGCTGTGCTGGGTTAACTGTTGGACTCCATGATCTTAAGGGTGTTTTCCAGAATAAATGGTTCTATGATTGTAAGAATACAAGTTTTCTGTGTTTGATTTGCTACCCAAAGCTTGATGTAGTGATTTAATACTGTGATTTAATAGTAAT